ACAATCGACAGTGTAAACATAAATATGTAAATAACCCAATTTGTGTTCTGTGAAACGGAAAAGGATTTTACATTGTTTTTGTTACTTTCGTTGCAGTGTCTTAAATGTAGGTTGACTTCCTGTTTGAAGTTGTTGCTATGGAAACAACATGACGGAGAAAAAAGTAATATCTTCTACATATAATAACGGACAAAGTAAAGAATGAAGTGTAGGCTATGCCTGTTTGAAGTTGTTGCTATGGAAACAACATGACGGAGAAAAAGTATAATCTTCTACATATAATAACGGACAAAGTAAAGAATGAAGTGTAGGCTATGTTTAAATGTTCGGAATTTGACCGTGTATGATGGCCCTCTTGAGTTGCCGTACAATATGACGGATATTACGGATGCGACGGAAATACACCCGAACACATCTGGTACCGACGTCGGTACCAGATGTGTTCGGGGTACCAGATGTGTTCGGGGTACCAGATGTGTTGGCTGAGATCGAGGCTGATCTCGAGCACTTTTGTCACTTTGAATGGAAAGAGCGTTAGTGTTATCATCTCCCTATTGATCAAAGGAGGTGATGAAAAACAATACAATAGGGAGAGTTCACAACAAGCTTGGAAGAAACCCAGACAATCATGAAATGCCAAAAAGTTTCATTTTTAAACATAAGTATTATCGTTTTTGTTGCAAACCTGACCGTGGCTTAATGATAGTACATAAACACTACTACAACAGAAACTGGTCAAATGTGACTCTTTGTTTGCTCTTGTTAAAGTAAATGTTTTAACCCATTTGTGGGTAAAGACGTGCAGACATACGATGCTACTGTGTTTGTTGAAACAGATCACCTTGTATTGTTTTTGTTTCCGTGCAGCAATAATACGACAGCTGTTTTGTAAATCCTAGTGGTTTGTGCCAACTGAATGTAAACGCAGCTACTAATACCACACCCTGTGTCCAGTCTCTAGTAATGATGGTGTATCTGTAGGAACATTTTGAAATATCCAATTCTCAAATAAAACTGGATGTTAACAAAAGATTGATGCTTGTTTATTATCTCAATGTGTTTACCCTTCCTCTGAATGTCCTCTGTTTGTATATGTGGAGTTACATTTGGCATTACAATACAACTAGAGTTAAACAAAGAAACTACCTACATTATGTTCAGTGTGGTCTTCAAGGATTCTTAACATCCAAAAAAACACATCTATGGTGTCATTATTTAAATCTTAAAATAAATAAACACATTGTTGGAGTTTTAAAGAATTCCTTTTTAATTGAGAAAAAATACTAAAAGGTAAATAAAACATTAAACATAATGACAAAATAACAACCTGAAAGATATGTATTCTATCTACACATTTCATAATTATCTAATCTAGTGGCCTTATAAAAGTGTTGGCTAAAGTAACGCAGAATATATATATATTTTGTAATTGTAAATAATTAGAAACATTATTTATGTGCACAAGTACATAAATATAAAAAAGGTCCAAATGCGGGAATAAGTATAAACAGTGAATGTGTAAATAAATACATGCAAAAATATAAAAAAATAAATGAATAGGGAAAGTAAATGAGATATACTGACAAACAAATAGCTACAGTACAGATCAAGAAATACAAATTAGTACATAAATGTGTCATACTTAAATTAGTATTAATTTATATTGTATTTCACTATTCCTATTATTAATATTATTATTATTATTATTATTTCTTTCTTTTAAATCTATTTCCCGTGTCAGTTTTGGGACCCCACCATAGGACCCCACACATAACAAGCTGTCCCGAGTTCCTCCGGCTGCAGTTCCGCATAAAAATTAGTACATAAATGTGTCATACTGTATATTGTCTGTATCATACTGTGTCATTTATATTGTATTTCACTGTTCCTATTATTAATATTATTAGGGCCCGAGCATGGAGCGCTAGGACCCAACGGCGTCCTAGCACGAAGTGCGAGGAACCAATTGTTATTGGAGGAATTCTTATTATTATTTTTCTGCGCTTTCGACCTGTTTTTGAGAGCTTTAGTATGCTTCAAAAGTTGTATAATTTTGCACGGACGTCAGGACCGGTGAAAAATGTGATATTCTGGAGTCAATAGGTTAAATATTCCAACCTGCTCACTAGCGCCACCTATCAAAATCCCATTTCGGAATAAATGTACAAAGTCGCACCGTAACTCCGAATGACCTGAAATGTTGCACACATATCCGGGAGGACCTGCTCTACAAATAATCCTCTTGGAACCCTAAGCTCCGCCTACATTATTTGTTTTTTAATTGGCATAATTTACATAAACAGTTAAATATTCACTTACATTTCAATTTTCAGTTTTTCAACACCAAACTTCGTATACAGCATCGGTGGAGGGTCAGACACATTACCCTAGGAGATGAGTATGTTCAAACGATAAATATTTCCGCCATGAATGAAAACGTACTCGCAAAAAGGCGGATCTTAAAAACAAATGCTCATAACTCATCAACAATGTATCCAAACATCACAGATTTTGGTAAATAGGTTCAATCTGTCTTGGGGAATAGGCACACCAAAGCATATTCATTTTGGACAATAGGGGGCGCCAAAAACACCACCAATTTATAACTCAAGAGCGGATGTGCTAATTTTTTTATTTTTTTGTACACATACTCTCGGGTTGACTACGAACTCAGATTTAAAGTGTCGCAACAAATCCAGAATGTGGGCGTGGCCTATACATTTGTTTTAAATTGCAATAGCATAAAATGAGCTTCGGACGCAAAACTTGGAACACACGTCAGAACCAAGCGGCAAACTGTGGGGTAGAGCCGGGAAGCCAATACGGAAGTGCCACACACTGCAGTTCATATATTGGCCGATAGGCGATGGCTGCAGAAAGGAGCAATTTCCATAGACCCCCATGTTAAAATGCCCGATTTTACAGCAGAAAAAAACATGTTTCTTATTTTTGTATCTATTCCAATTGAAAGTCCATCTGTCTCATCTGCAATGCGAGCGTGGCTTTATCGAAGAAGGGTAATTTAGGAGCGGCATTTCAAAACAGTGCACAAACGCTACGAGACGGAATTCCCTCCTAATTCTGCCCTACGCTCCCAAAAGGGGAGGGGCCTGAAAGTCAGTGTTCTTGCGAAACACATGAAGTCTTTCGAAGACGGCGAAGTTGTGAAAGAAGCTTTCCTGGAGGCTGCGACGCGCTTTTGTGGGACAGTAAAAATAACAGAAGCATTTCAACAGGTTTTTGATATAATAAAAACTCAATTTAGATACCGTTATTAATCTGCTGTAAGTTTTAGTTTGTTTGAATTTATTCATGATAATTATTGTACAAAATGGTATAAGAATGCAAACATTAAGATCTGTTCTGTTTAAATTGATTATAGTCTATCAGTTCAGAAACTAGTGTTGCTTGCATCCTATTTTAAAGGCATTTCTTTTTATACTCTAATAAAATGCAACAAAAAATGGGTTTGATTCTATTAATGTTGTCTTTTTTATTGCACTGTTGCAGCAGATTCCTGTGTAGCTTCAGATCTGAGTTGTCTTATTAGGAAGCCTAATTTATACTTTTGTAGCAACGCTATTTTTATATAATGGCAAAGAAAGGGTTCTTCAGAGTCTTTTCTTTTTGTCCTGTGTCATATGTGGCAGCACTGCCACAAGTTCCTCTTCAGAGAGGGTCTTCAGTACAGGTGGCAATATTGTCACCTGCCTGCGCTCATCTCTGAAACCAGACCATGTAAACAGGCTGGTGTTTCTTGCGAACAATCTTTAAGAGATGACATGAGCAGTCCTACCAGCATTTGCCATGGTGGCCTAAACATTTTTATTTGGTCTTAAATTGTAGTTCAACATTTATTTCCTGTTACTTCTGGACCATGACGGTTGGCCAGCCTTCAACGTTTAACTGAGTGGAATATGTTGAATATGTTTTACCAAAATGTTGAGTTTTCAGTAGGTTGTGACAGTGCACTGCAACATATTTGATTTCATTTATTTTGGTCTAATTTATTTTTATTTATCATATTAATATATGTTTAGTATGGTTTTGGAAGTGCGCTCCAACATATTTATTGATCTTGTTTATTGGTAAAATATTATTTGTTTTAAAGTTCAATAAATGGTCAATGAATAATCGTCAAAATAATCGTGATATCAATTATTGACCAAATAATCGTGATTATGATTTTTGCCATAATCGCACAGCCCTACTTGAATGTACTAACAGATCTTCCAAGAAGTCTACTTTCAGCTTTTTTCGGTGAGTAAAATGATAATATTATTCATGTTAACCCCGTTAGCAGGTGTTTGTGTGCTTGTTAGCTTAGCCTGTTATGTAGCTTATTAGCCAGCTAAGGACGTAACCCTTTATACATATATACAGTTTAGTTTATGATTCAGCCTTGGGTAAGACTTTTATACTATATGGCTATGACGCCCATAATGCTAAACGGGAGCAAATGTTAAAAGGGGTGGGCCGCCGGAGTCCACGCCGCCGAAGCTAACGGGGCTGCAGGGTGCTAGCTCGCTAGCGCGTCCCGGCGGCCGTAGCTAGCACCCTGGGGCTCCGCTAGCTTCGGCCAGCGGCGGAGTCCGGCATTATAACTGGAGATCAAGGAATGCATCGTAACGCGGACTTGGTTCGCCTGCAGCCCGCTGTAGTATTAGCTAAATAAATGATGTTGAGCAAGGCTTATTAAGCTGAACACCGCCACAATTATTCTGCTATGTATCGGTACTTATTTTATTTTATTAACGTGTGAATGACAAGCATTAAGAATAATACCAAATAGCTAATTATCTTGCAGATTGTCTCGTTTGATTATGAATGTAACGTTTATATAGTGGAACTACACTGTTTTATCAAAACCAAAGTGCCACGCAGTGACTTGGTATGCATGTATTTCAGCAGGAAATGTGCAACCTAGATGACATTTACCAACACAGACTATATAGAAATATTTGTAAAAGTTGTTCATGCGTTATTAAGTGAATATGGCATTAACCCTCCTGTTGTCTTTGGGTCGGTTTTCATGTATTTTTGAATAAAGGTTTCCTTTAGGTCAGGGGTGGCCAACCCGCGGCTCTCGAGCCGCATGCGGCTCTTTGCCTAGTTTCATGCGGCTCTTCAGTTCATATCGAATTGTATAGCCTATGTGTGAGTTTGGGGGAGAGACACTGACTCCTGACTAGTGTTGCACGGTGTACCGATACTTGAAAGGTACCGCGATACCCTGCCGTTAAAAACGTTACGATTCCTCCGTTTCATTAGTATCGGTACTTGACGGGGGGAAAGTCCTCCGGTGAGAAAGCGCCGTTTTAATAAGAGCCGTGTGTGTTCAGCGCTCTGCTTCCACTCCCTGCACTGCAGCCGTGCCTGCAGTCCCGCCCCTCTCAAGCGAGATGGGTCTGGCTGCAGACCGCAGCAAGGAGGCGGATCGTATAGGGGCGGATCGTATAGGGGCGGATCGTATAGGGGCGGATCGTATAGGGGCGTTTCCTAACTTTTTTGATCCAATAGAATAATGACACTCAGCAGAAATACATACTGTAGGTGGCAGTAATGCAATTTAAGGGATTCCAGCTGCTTTTATAAATCCTCGCAAGAATAAGTCATTCGTTCTTTCACGATGGCCGAACAACAAGTTGAAACAGCGGTAATAGTATTTTCCAGAGATGCATGTTTATATTTATTGTAATGTCATTTTTCTTAACACACAATTGTCTCGTTATCAAAGTACAATATCGACTGTCCAACCTCGTTAAGCGTTAATAAAGTAAATAATAGTTGTATGTGGTAAAAATGTTTGTGGTATTAAATGCTAACTTAGCATGATGGTATAAACACGTTGGCCTATAGTCCCGTTTGCAACCAGGCCTACTCTACTGTTGTAATAACGTTAAATTTAGATAGGTCAATAGATTATCAGGCTCGGTAACAATACTGATTTGTGTTACCAAAGCTGATCATCTAATTGACCTAAGGTTAGCGTATATGCTGTGATGCTAACCAGCACTTAGCATGATGCTAGTGTACTGTTGTATTATCTTGGAAATATAAGTAGGCCTGCCCATACTGTAACTTAATCAAATCATATGGTATGGATTTGGATAGACAACATGGCTAGCTTGGTTGGTTGAATTGAGTAATAAGATGTGCGGTACTGATTAAGGTTGTAACTGTAACAGTTTGTAACTACTAGTTGTAATGAACCAGACGAGAGACGGACGCATCCTTTCAGTAAATGTCGGCTGCTAATCAATATGTAAAAATAACACTTCGGATGTGTCTTCTATAATTATGTAACATTAGTTATGGCATCATCAGAAATGTGGTAAAGTAATATGATTAGAGAAGAGTCACTGGTCATCTAACACATGCTTAATAGCTCACCTAACACTATTAAAGACAGGTTAAAGAATGTAACATCATAAAAAACTTCCTAATATCGATAAGCAAAAACACTAGTTATATTATACAAATGATGTGACCCCTTGAGCTGCATAAACTAACAAGCAATCCAATTAAAATATAAATATCAAAGCTCATTCAAAAACTCGGAAGGCTACAGGGGACATGGGCGCAGAGGACAACTCTCTGGGATGTACTCGGAAGATGAGCTGGCAGGATTCTGCAGCATTGACTGTTTCTATGATGCTGGAGGCACCTTCCAAGAATAAAATGTTTGTTTAATAAAGACTTTCCTCTTTGTATGTACTATATATATTTTTTTTAATTTATTAATCTTACCACCAGACACAACATGAACAAATGAATGATACACATCAGGACAGTAACTTAAACTTCAGTATTTTAGGTGTACAGAAACCTCTACTCATGTTGTTAAATGATATACAGCAATATCTTCCATAAAACGTAGTTGATTGATTTGAATAATAATTACTACCACTGCACAAACAGTGAAAAATGATATGCCTACAATTTATGAATTTGTCTTCTCTGTGGGTTGTATACTCTTCATTATTTATGCAAATTAATTATAATTATTATTTTTCAAAGTTCGTTTATGATTCATTCAAAGCATTAAAATAAATGAGAAACAGAGAGCGTCATATACCTTTAAGAAATACGTGGGGGCGGGGTTCATAACCCTTTAGGAAACGCCCCTATACGATCCGCCCCTATACGATCCGCTTCCTTGCTGCGGTCTGCAGCCAGACTCTATTGTCTCAAGCACGCTCAAGTGCCTCCCCTCTCTCGTGCACGCGCTAGCTGCCAGAGCATGTGAGAAAACGAGAAGCATGGCTGCAAGTGGGAGTGCAACTGCCGCTGCGCCTCGGCTTGTTGACAAAAAATACGCCAGAAGCGACATTTTGAAGTATTTGAGCTATATCTCTGACAGTGAGGGCAAGCCTACGGACACCACGAGGCCTGTCTGTAAGAAATGTATTGATTTTATTTAATACGAATTATTGTCATTTATTTAATTTATTGTTCTCATTGTTTAAAAGTTTGTGTTATGGTTATGGTTCTGGTGTGAAATAAAGCACAATAATTACATTTAAGACTGTTTCCCTTTTTTTAAGAAAAGTATCGAAAAAGAATCGGAATCGCAATTCTTGACTTGGTATCGAAACCAAAATGTTGGTACCGTGACAACACTAGCTACTCCTGACAGTTAAACCTGATATTTAGTAGGTCTGTTAAGTATTGAATGCTAATGATTCTGACGTAATTTGGCCGGTCAAAGTTGTTTGGGCTCGGATAAAATCGCTCCGTTACTTTCGTCCCGTGTTACTTTCGTCCCGGCTCTCCCTACGTGTGTATGTGTGGTGTCAGGTGTCAGTATGAGAGGATGACAGCGCGTCTAATTTTGATGTGGCCCAAGAGCCAATCACAATAATACCTGCGATGCAGTGAACCAATCACCTTTGAGTGGGGGGAAACCTATCGTTGATTAAACACTATCCAGTGTTTCCCCTACCATTGTCTTGGAGGGGCGCTGCGCCCCGCCAACGGAGCCCGTGCCCCCCCTGGAATTCAAGGTGTTTAAAACATATTTATAATTTTTTTTTTTTTTAAATATAGCACCAAATTGCAAATAATCTATAACTACTGTCACTTTTCACATTGAACATGTGCTCTTTTATTAAATAAACTAAACGCTTTCATTTTAAGTTGTGAGTTTAGTGTTTTGACCCTAAGAAACACTGATGCATTAATCAATACCAATAATCCACAGCTGCTCTCTCTGCTCCAGAGGATTTAAAAAATATATATCCCAATGCCACAAAAATGCATCAGTGACGTGGTTGAAATCTTGTCTCCAGAAAACAAAAAACTGTTTGATGTGGCTCTTTGCAGTAACATAGAAAAAATGTGGCTCTTAACCTCTGACTGGTTGGCCACCCCTGCTTTAGGTGATCCAGACAGGCTGGACCAGTGGGTGCTGAACATCCGGAGGAATAAATGGACCCCCAACGTTTCTTCTCGCCTGTGCAGTGAACACTTTGAGAGTCATCACTTCAGCACGGACTCATGGGTAGGCCTACAGATCCTTTTTTTAAAAAAAAAACTTGATTCCATTTGTGAGTGTAAATTGTTGTTACTAATTAAATACATGTTATACATCATACAATGCTAAATAATTGTTATGGCACAGCTTGCACATCAGTGATGAGTAATGTTCTTTTGATTAAAGGCCAACTTAAGATTTTGCCAGTTAAGTATAGAAACATAGAAATCGAATTTTTTTGCAAACCATCACATTTCTCTTCAATTTATGCAAAGACTCTTTATCATAGATAGAGAATTGCCATTTTCCCCCACATACTCTATGTTAAAAACAGATGAATTATATTACCTTTTTTTACATTATTTTAATTGCAACATTCATTCATCTGTTGTCATCTTATAACTTATTTATCTTAACAGCTATCACTGTTAAAAAAAAGGATTTAATTTCATCTTACTATATTTATCTTTACATTCTGTTCTTGCATATGTCTTATTATATTTACGTGTATATAGATTTCTGCCTGCACTCATTTATTATTCTTAATTTAATTTTGAATTTATTTTATTGTCTTATATAACTATGTTGCATTGTTGGAGGAGCTCAGGACAGATGATTTTCATTGCCATTCCTACACTGTAGCCTATGTGCATATGACATAAATCCTTTGAATCTGAATCTTGGAAACATGTAATTGTTGAATGGATTAACTGCATAGTTAACATGTTGGCCCTCTATTGTCTTTTATAATGCACTCTTAAATTTAAGACAACATTATTCAAAAGAAAGTTGAATATCTACAGACCTCAAAAAGTTATTTTATGTGTTTTTGTTTATTATTTTTATTAGGGAAGGAGATGCCTGAAAAACACTTCAGTGCCCACCATTTTCTATTTCACCAAAGAACAACAGCCTAGACGGAAAAGCAGGGTGAGTAGCAATGACGAGGTAAGTGACACTCCTAGTTGGACTGTTAACAGCAATGAGGAGGTTGCAGATGTAGACCATGGTAGTGGTGAAAACAGTCTTGCTGCTGATCAGAGCAATATCATTATGATACAAGACACACCTGAAGAAGCCTTTGTTGTTCCACATGTGGAGCATAATGACATTCCAACAGTCAATGCTTGTGAGGAGGATGTTGGTTTGGGTTGCAGCAGCCAACAAACAAAACAAATTGAAAGCAGGCAGACTCCGCCTCTGTTCACTCTTACACTTGGGCTTTAAACTAAGACGGGTCATACTGAATAGTTTGTGCACACATTTTTAACATGTGATCTTTCTTTCATGTAGGACGCTTGAGGGAAGTTGCAACGCCTCGGCCAATGTGATGTCTTCTCCACGTGAAAGAGATAACTTATAACTTGAGACAATTTTCCAGAAGTTATGACTTGTATTGGCTTAGGCAGTAATGGATTACATCTAACACAAATCAAGATCGTATAGAACAAAAGGAAAGTGTAATCCTTAGTTACATAGGAAAATATGTAATCGGATTAGTTTTACTTTTTTTAATAATAGGGAAACTCAGGATTACAATCTTATTCAAAACCTAAAAAGAGCTGTTTGTTGTAAAATGATCAAATTGTATCTCTTCTCTGGAAGCCGTACTGTTCTGTCGGCTAATACTTAAATTGTGAATCTATACACCTACTGCCTGAATCTGCTTTATGGTATTATATTATACATTTAAGTAAGACAAATCATATTAATATTTCTTCTCTCCTGTGTTTATTTGCATTGCATTTGATATTGAGGTAATCCAAAAGAAAAATAAAGTTATCAGGTTACATTACTTTTATATCTTGATACTTTTTGTTTTTGTTTTTGGCAAGTAGCCCTCCCAACCCTGTACATAAGTTATATCATTTTAATTAGATACAGTTGTTGCACATCTTTAATGTATGTTCTAGTGTACTTAAGTCATAAAATGCAAGATGTAACTTTCAATGTGGCTTGTGCCTTTATCACATTTTCAATGTGAAATAGATCTGATTAAATAAAGACTAAAAGCACAATCTTAAATGTTGACATTTATCATTTTCCTATGCTTATTGTTAATGTAGTGGTGTTATAAACAAAATGTTGTCGTGAAGGAAATTAAGATGTTTTATTTGTTGACAAAAGATTTAAAGTTGATGCTCACTACATGTGGGAACATTTATTGAGAAAAAATGTTTCTATTGTAAAACAAATATTTATCTGCATACTGAACAATTTCGAAACTCTAAAAGGTATTATCTTCTGTGATGTTACGACCCTGTAGGGATTGTGGGTATTGCACTTCATAATTACATTCTATGGTATGCTTATGACATATTTGATGCCAAAATACATGGGATTAGGGGAGACCTTCTTGTTGTTTGCATTGTCACTGACTCTTTTCAGACTGCTACGGCTTGGGAAAAGATTTGAGCCTTAATGTGTAATGTTTTCTGTATTGTATGGTTAGCTTATCCTTTCATTTGATAGTCGGATTTTGATGTGATAGCTAACATTTTCAGTAAGCAGTAGACAAAAGAAGTGAAAATATGAATGTCATTTATTTATTTTTGGTTGATCTGGGAGAGCATGATCTTCATGCCAGGGTGCCGATGGTGAAGCTGGTGCAGGTCCTCCTTCATCTGGTTCAGCAACTGAACACTGGGCACATCCCCCAAGTCATTGCCGCCACAGTGGATGAGGAGGACATCCGGGGCTGCTCTTCCTCGCAGGGAGTAGGAAAAGAAGGGGAGGACACCTCTCCAGCGCAGTCCACCCCAACCGAACCAGCACACCCTCAGGTCGAGGCCAAGGTTGCTGCCGATGGTCTCTGTAGCTCTCTGGGCTCCACGCCGGACATAGCTGTCTCCGATTATCCATACAGTCACTATGGGAGGAAAATAAATGAGAGTAACAAATGCTTCAGATAATGAGGAATATCAAATTAAGTATAAAGGGTTGCTCATTTTGTTCCTTTGACATTAACATACAAAATAACTATGAAATCACACCTGTATGGTTAAAAGTAACGAGAGCAACACCTCAAAAACACAGTTTATATATATTTATATACTGTGTGCTGTTCAGGGTTGGGTTGTAACGGAATACATGTAACGGCGTTACGTAATCAGAATACAACAATCAACTAACTATTCAGCTCGCCTTACATTTGAAAAACAAGTAATCTGATTACAGTTACTTTCGTAAACCTGAAGTGAATACATTTTGGAATACTTATTGGAATTATTAGTGGAAAGATTTCCTCACAACATTTAATATTCATTACTAAAGGTACAGCCGAATCATCACAGCCCACAAAACCTATTACCGCCGCAGATGGACCAAAAAAGCGGTTGAAAAAAAATCGCGGGTCCGCTCAGTGAAACAATAACAACGAAACATGGAGGAACAAAAGTCTGCGTTTAAATCGCGTGTGTGTGTGGTTAAAACACATCAGCCTGCGGTCACTCTTTAGCCTTACTAATGATTATTTCTGAAGGTAAACACAGTGAAGGCTGTGCGTGAAAGGCACTGCACGCTCGTCTTCTCAGAGGCTGAGTTAACCCTCCCGCTGCCTCCTGGTGCTGCAGAGATTTCATGAAGTGAAGGAGGTGTTCCTTCTATAAAACAGCTGATGGCAGCAGATACTGTGAGTGTCACAGACATGAATTCATAGATCAAGGCAGACTGGTGCACACACTCTCCTGTTTTGCCAATCCGGTGCTTAAACAAATATAGCTCCACACCCCTGGCCGTAATGTCCTTAAAATGAAGTCCGAGTTTGACATTTTAATTCATGTCCTGCCAACTCTGGCAGGACAGAAGGCGACACGCTCGTTCTAAGCCGTGTCCCTCACTCCTCACATCCCAAACTGCATCCCCAACAAGTGTATTATGTTGTTACATTGTTTCAGAGGTTATGTTTCAGTTGTGCTCTTGATAAGCCATTAAAACAGTAAAAACACGTTCAGTTTCCTTTTACTTTTTGTGTCTCCTGTTCACCAAAACATACCCATCTGTGATGGAAAAAGAAAGTAATCCAAAAGTAATCTAAAAGTAATCTGATTACGTTTTTTAAGACACGCAACTGTAACTGTATTCGGATTACTTTCAGAGCCATGTAATCAGTAATCAGTAACTGATTACATTTACAAAGTAACCCTCCCAACCCTGGTGCTGTTTATCTACAATTATGCATATATATATATATGTGTAAAGTATGTTTGTGTGTGTGTAATGTCAACCATCTGAAGTCATGTAAAGTAAGCCAGGACCATCAACTTACAGGTTGTGCAGTTTGGCGTGGAGGAGGTTGCCATCTTCTTTTTTCTTAATGCTGAAAGAAATAAAAATTGTTTAATCAATATAAAAGCACCTTTCTTTTTCTACAGTCATATTTAATGTATACTCTCACAGCGCTGTTGAAACAGTAACGTTCAATTAAATGTATATACAATTGATGGTCAAAAAGTATAAATATGCACATTTTGCATTTGTTAGCCCACGCATATAACACTGTTTATATTTGAGCGTTTTGAAACTTGTATAGTGTAATATCAAGAACAGTTAAATCATAGGGGAAAGCTTTGTTTAATTCACAATACGCTAATTCCTTATACTGTATAGGCCACAGTCTATGGCTAATTCAATAGGCTAATTCACGCAACACTGGCTATCTCTGCCAGTTTACAAAGTTTAGTTACAAATGACATTTATATTTGAAAAACGGTGAAGCACTTAAAAAACAATTGTATAGCGTAGTAGGTTCAAGAACATTTAAATCAAAAGGACAAGTTTTGTAAAGTTACAGGGTATCTTACCTTCAGAATATGCCGGGAATGAGTAGCAGTGACCGCAAGCTGGGTTGTTAGCTTAATACTGAGAGCATGTTAGCTTAGCTTCTTAGCCTGAGCTAGTTCTGGAACGTCATGCTCGTTGGCAGCAGGTCCCGCCCTGTCCCGCCTCTTTGCGCTTATTTGGAGCAGGCGGGAGTTAGACTCTGACGTCACTGTCGAGCCGTTAGTGGCCGACTCCGCCTATTAAGGGCTTCTCGGCAACTCTGCAAATTAGTTCATGAGAACCTTTTTACCCCCACGAAAGTCCCTGCTAGAGAGCAGGGACTTTCGTGTGGCTCTCTTGTGAGAAAAGAGCTATATTTCTGATTGGCTGGGCGTATTGTAAACCACGTCCCGTAAACTCCCAAAAAGTTTTGTGAAGCCGCCATTTTATTATCCTCGCATTAGCATTATTAGCATTAGCCCAGCGCAGAAACGCAGAGAGACTAATTTATGGCAACACAAAATAAAACATGGGGAGCGGTGGAGATGAGGAGGTGTCGGCGTTCTGGCGATTTACTCGGAAGGCTTCAGTAGAAGCTGCTGGGAGTCCCAGCAGCTTCTACTGAAGCCAGTCCCAAACTCCGGGGACTTCGGGCGGCAGTATACGCAGTGAAGTGGTTTGCGGCCTGCCAGTAAACCCAAAGCAGAAGAAGAAGAAGAAGTGACGTCAGCGGCATCATTTGCCTAATCCACCCCCAGGGACTTATTCCGGTGTGAACGTGATCTGTTCTTAGTTCATGAGAACTAAAGAGTTCTCATGAACTAAGTTCTCATGAACCTTTGTGGGAAAAGTACTGCGGTGTGAATGCGCCTTATGGTTCTCACTCCAATAAATCAATCGCACGTGTGACGGAGGGGGGAGGGGGGGGGCCTGCGCAGCCTGCACTCTGCACAGCATGCGCTGCTGGCTTCCTCCAAGTTTACAGTAAAAAAAACTGGTGGTGTGACCAATGGCCATTTACAATTATTAATACTATTACTATTATTAGCATTACTCTATATTTTGGTTGAAACTAAGCCAGTAAAAAGAAAAAAAAAACATAAATAATAATAAAAAAATATATAAATAAAATCGAAGTTTAAAAATAATTTTCGATTATGGAGACTGTAACAAATATTCGAATAATCG